AAGTTATACAGTCCACAGGATGCACATTTCCAAACATCTCAGCTTATTTAGTCTATTTTTTGACACTCTCGTACTACATGTTTACAAGGCAACCATGACCAAAAAATCGCCCCCAGGCTGTGTATCAACGTGAACCTCTCAGTCTTCCCACCCCTCTTTTGAAACTGCTGAGACGAGAAGAATAAAAACTCTTTCACTCTCACAGCCTCTATCTTACTTCCTGTGTTTTTTTGTTTTGTTTTTGTTATTTTCAGGACTGACTGCAGGGTCCCGCTCTGCTGACCTTGACCTCTTGCTGCACCCCTAACTTTTACCCTCAGTATTCTTACCGTAAGCGTCCTACGGTGACATCGCAGTGTGTGTAGTAGGTCTAACAAGGCACTCGTTTCTCCAGCCAGAGATCACCGAAGTCAGCCAAAGAGTCTCCTCCTCTTTGTCTAGCCCTCTTATTTTCTTTCTCCTCCTCCTTTCTCTCACTTTTCAGTCTTCCATCTGCTCTTACTTTGCGTTGATGGGAAACAGGGAGTGTAGGCATCCAGCCTGGACTCAATTCGCATTCACACACACACACACACAAGCGACCCAACCACACAGTCACATACACAAGATAAACAAGGAAGAGGGGCGGCAACAAGTTCTTTTCGGTGTTACTCTTTATTTCTTTACTTGTGACAGTTCATCTGAGGATTCATTTACTCACTTGTCTTCTGGTGTAACAAACTGTCAAACTTTTATTCAGATCCCTCGGCCTCTTTCTGTTTCGCACTCGCCCACTTACTAGAAAAGTAAAAGAAAAGTATCGATTTCCTGCACACCAAAAAAGGAAGCAAAGTTTTTTCCCCCCCCATTCCTAACCACCGACAAAGAGCAGCAGTACTGAGCATGTTCACTATGACCACAAGGCCACACACAAAGAGAATACACAGAATATATACATTTACTTAACTATCTAAACAAGGACTTCTGTTGTTTCATATAAAGCTAATTATAATCACTATAGACAATCACTCAAATCCTAAAAGCTTTTTTTTTCTTAAAAAGTAGACATATAATAATTAAAATAAAATTTAATAAAATAAAAATACATAATTAGCAAATAGTATTAGCTTTATATATATTTACGTTTTCCAATTACACATTATGGAGGTTTAATCATAATCAGATCACTTCTGGGAACAGTTTTTTCCTCAAACTATAGCCAAGCCAAGAACATTTTCAGAGAGAAAGCCATCATAGGCTGATGAAGCATTTCCATCTTATGAGAAATAATCAGTATACAAGTCCTGATATACAGAACTAAGAAAACAGATTAATCATACAAATCAACACGATAAACACTCATGATGCACATGCATGCACACACACACACAAACACGTTGGGTATCCATGTTTAATGGGGAATTTCCATAGACATTATGATTTTTATAATGTGCAAACATCACAGAAAGCTTTCACACACACACACACACACACACACACACACACACACACACACACACACACACACACACACACACACACACAGAGAGAGAGAGAGAGAGAGAGAGAGAGAGAGAGAGAGAGAGAGAGTACTTTCATTAAACACATTTCCATGTTTCCAATTTCCAGCATATTTCCAGTAATCATTTATAAGAGTATCCATGTTTATCCATATATACTTGCTATTTGCAATTCTTCATCTGCTGGAAAACAACAAAGATAAACGTTAAGTTTTACAAAAAAGCAGACCAATGACCAACCCACCCAAAATGTGGAAGTGAAACAATCTGAACGTGACACAGCAAAGATTGCTTTACTTTAAATGTGAAAAAGAACATGCCACAAAATGTATTTCATTCACCACCTACTAAATATATCCCACTTCAAAATGCCATCATTAAATGCAAATACATTATCTGCATTATATAGAAACCTGATTTTTTTTTTTAAAAACAGGTCACCTCATTAAAAGCAGGGGTCAAGAGAATTATATGGCCTAGTTGTTTTGAACAACAAGGTGGGCAAGGCTGGACTTGAGCAAGCTCTTAATGCATTATAGTCCGTCACGTCTATTGCAATCTCAAAATTCCGGTTCTGTCGACTGCTGGCAGTAGATCCTTTTCCTATTTGGCACCAAATCTTTGGAAAAGTCTTCCTAACATTGTCCGGGAAGCAGACACACTTTGTCAGTTCAAATCTTGACTAAAAACACATCTCTTTGACCTAGCATACAATGTAGACTTCTATAATTCAATGTTAGACTGCATAGTTTAGGTCACTTTCCATAAATCCTGAAGTACTTTTTACATCATAAAAAGGATGGTGTCTACACTAATATTAGTCTCTCTGTTTATCCCGAGGTTTACCGCAGTCCGCCCGGATCCAGGTCGTATCCAGATCTGATGAAGGACCTGCGCCTAGACACGTCGACAACGCAGTCCTGAAGTGTCAACTAGTCTCTCCCCCGTGAAGGCCTTCTTCCCATCCCTTTATCTCCATCCACAAGTTTCCAACGCCCCATGAGGCCTTGCGTCAAAAGTGGGCACGTTTTCCGGTTCGAAGTAAACAAAGCGCGACTTGACATGCTTGACACTCGTTCATTCAACAGTTGACAGTCATTCAAGTTATAGCGATCCAAACTAGCTGACGATGTGGGAACACAACCTCAACGGAATTAAAAAGGGTAAAATAACAGTACCTTTACCCTCCGCAGTAGTTGGTTTGGAGTATTATAATAACATTATTAATAATCAATACTCATCAAGGCATGGTGACAGACAGTTGTGTGAGCTGACAAACAATTAAAATAAAAAATACACACTTAGTCATTGTGCTTTGGAGTTTATTCAAAATTATAAATGAATTTGCTTCTTGAATACGTACATTACTGGCACATTATTCTGTCAACACAGGCTTTGATCCTGAGTTTAGGTGTAACATCAGTAGCGAACAGCCAAACACATGCTGATAAAGTTTAGAGAATATTAAGAATTTAAACAAATGTACAAAGGAATATTTGTCGTCTTTTGGGAGGTGATGGAAACTACAGTCGTTGGCAGGATCACTCTGATTTCGTTTTCGGCTTATGTTCAAAACAATCACGTTTAAGCCACTGAATTAGTTTAGTCCGGCTATACATACAACCGCGAACAGCACATGTTGTCCCTGAGCTCCGTAACGACATATCTCATAAAGATTTGAGTCTTTAAATAGTAAAATAATTCTCTGAAAAACAGCTAGCCTCTTCGCTAACTAACGCACAAAATACCATTGGAATGCTACTTCCGCCGCCTTACCGGAAGTTTCACCCACTTTATTTTTTACAGGAGCGCCCCCCTGAAACTTGTGGATACAGATAAATCGTTGTAGGGCTAATTCTGGTTCACTTATATATGCAGAAGCAAGATTTCCATTACACAAGAGTAGATGTTAAAACTTCATGCTGACTTGTACTCGGCCTTCGCCAAGATAGGCACAAACTAAGACGTAGCTTTACAGTAACCAATGCTTCTCCATCCATTTACGCTTCCATCCATATGGTGATGTGAATCTCCTTCTGTCCGGTGTTAACGGCTGCAGCACACACAACGGCTGCAACTACAGTGTGGTCTCCCTAGTGGACCAGCACGACAACCACCTAGATTGAGCCAAGTAGGGGACATCTCTACGGTCTTCAAGTGGGCACCTTCCGTCCTCAGTGTTTTGTCGACAAGCCCACGACACCTCAAGAGGACTCAACGGTGACTCTGGCATCCCAGAGTCAACCCCTACACAACTCAGCCCAGCTTACTGACCTTTACTTCCCTCCTGCTGCTGAGGTTGCTCCTTCCTCAAAGTTCAAATGTGACCTAACTACAATCTCTCCGCAAACCAACTATACGCGCCGCCAACCCGGCTGTCAAGTCCCATTGTCTTCGTTAAAGTAGGTTCAGTGGCAGCGGTTCCGTATGGCGTACTACCTACCGCAAAACAGAATATCTGCCCAAACACCAACCGTCATTTACGCAAAATACACAGGAACGTAATAAATGTACAACCTATACAAATAAACCAACAGACTCTTCGAGTTTTTCCAGAATTCTACGAAACCGTAGCGTGGCGGCCTGTACACAGCCAGCTAGTATCTTTGTCTCAACTACAGCCAGTTGCTGCTCTTCTGCTTCAGATAAGCTCTTTACTGTGCGACACAACTCTTGGCCACTGAATCCGACGTCTCTGAGGAACCGGGTTGTAGAGTGTGCCACGAGTCCACTCTGGATTAACCTGGACTCTCCATCTTCACTGCTTCAGTGGCTAGATGAAAATACTGCAGTTTCTTCCTCTCATATGCCCCATCTACCGCATCCTCCCATGGCACTGTTAACTCTATCAGTTGAACAATGCGTGCTGATCCAGACCACAAAACAATATCTGGACGGAGGTTAGTGGTGGCAATCTCAGGTGGAAAAATAAGCCATTGATCAAGATCAGCGATATAAAATTCTGTATTATACACTTTTCAAGGCTTGTACCTTGGAACCTATTTCATGGTTTGCGTTCTCAAGCCACCAGGCACTGTTTTGTGTAAATGAGCGGCCAGATCGCATTAAGGGTTTTCTGTTAGAACGATGTTGTGTTAGCGGCCCCTAAGTAAATAACTAATGATCATTGCGACGGAAGTGAATCAATCAAAACTAACTTTATTCTAGAGCTGATGTGAAGCCAAAACAATTTATATTATTTAAAGCGCTATATAAATGAAGGTGACTTGACTTGCCATACCAGCATCAGATCCCTTTAGTTTAGAGGAACTTCTAAAGAGAGAAGAAATACAGTAACGGACATGAAAACACAACAAAAGAGAGGAAATTATTCAAGAGGAAGAGCCAGTCATATTGAGAGGTAAAAAGTAGAAATGTAGGCCTTCCAACCACAGATCTATGCAACACAAATATCAATGCTTATTAGCAGCAAAATGATGTTTGGAGAATGAAAGCTGTAAACGACCAGAAGATTCATTCTTAGAGAAACACACAAACACATTAATTCATAAATAATTTATAAACAAATTCAGAATATCAATTCAATCTGTGATCTCCTCCATACTTTAAAATACAGAATAGCTTTGCACATATTGACAAAACATACAACATATGACCAAAAGCTTAAATTTACAATAAATACATGCACATGTGGTATTTATCTTTAGAGATTGTGTTTACACCTATTTGGTTGTGCAAATATTACAAACAAAACAAAACATAACTCTATTACATCTCAAAAAGAGAGCATACGATCTACTTGGCACAAGGTAAACAAAGTTTCATACAGTACATCCCTTCTCATCAGCTGGCACTGGTTGGCCTAGATTTGTCTTTTTTATTTGTGTATTTATCTGTTTTGAGACATCTGTGGACTAAAACTACTGTATGTGAAATAACCATGATCTTTGGAGTATTTGGAGAGGTCGGACCAAAACCGAACCATCTTTCAAGTAAGACAACTCTTAGTTGTCTTACTTGACAACTGTTAGACCACTCCCCCCACTGTAAGACTCCCATTCAGAAGGCCACAAAGAACTGTGTGGAATGAGCCCATAGACTCATGGTTTGGCAAAACTCTTGCATCTTCTTATATTTGATGTTCTTGAACATGCGCATTTTTCGTAATGTCACTGATATCTTTCTTAACAACGAGCTTGAAATATTCGCAAATAAATCATTAAAGTCGGCATGAAATGTCTTTACTTCCATTTTGTGACGTTTATCGAAACTGCTTCACGAACAAGAACAAATGTAGACTTTTTATGGACTTGATAGTCATAAGACTTGATCCATGAGGAATTGATTGGATCATTGTCATTTACCATGGCAGAAATCGCAGGCTGTCCCATCCTGGCGCCGAAAACATGATGAAATTTCCATGATTTTTCCAGTCGTTTGATTAACTAGATCATTTTTGTACAGCAAAATTGTAGATGTTTCTAGCCGACGAAATATTTTAGTGATGACTACCTTTTTTGACATCACACTTTGAAAATGACCCGATACTACCAGATTTTCCATGGGACCGTGGGAACGCTGTTCTCAGAGCGAGCACTCATCTTACGAGTAATTGCTCCTCATGAAGAATGATGCAAAGCCAGTCAAACGATTACATGACACTTAAGGCTTTGAATAAACATGCAAGGTTTTATAAACAGTGTAAGTCCTTGTGAATTCAGTTTGTGAAGGCTTGTTTGTCGTCTTTCATTTGCCTCAAATGATCAAAGTCTCTGTTTTAATCAGTCAACTTTCATCATTATGGTCAATTGAAGAGGTCAACCTTCTGCTTCATCTTCACCTCCCCTCTTCAACAGGTCTGGTCTCAGCTTTTAGTTTGACGAACTCTTTGGCAACCTCATCAGTCGAGCGTTGAGAGAGGATTCGTAGCACGGTGGTCCCGGTTTCGTCTCGGTTGATACACGGGCCCAAAGGGCACCAGCACACGCAGCTTTTCCGGTCTGCTACGTCACGCAGCTGCAGTACTGCGATCCCCACCACCCGGTCCGCACGACCAAAACAGTAATCCTTCACCGATATTTGAATCTCATAGCAGTCCAGACTCATGCCTTTACCCAGCACACTGAGATTGAGATGAAAGGAGGGGGAAAATACACATATGAGTAGATCATTCTCAGTAATATGACTTTAAAAAAAGGAGTGCTTGAGCGTGCAATTAACCATATAACATGTTTGTTTTTCTGAACGCAAACCAGCGAGCCATGACCAATTATATGTGGCAGGAGGATGATGACAGCGAACAGACTACATTGAACTTTGTCTCATTCTATTATAAACTATTTTGAACCGGTTGAGTCAAGATCTAAGTGATACAAGTACAGATCCTTGTTTTTTCTTTTGAAGACCTGTGAAATGCAATATGAAGAGGCTAATGTTGTATAATAGGTGCTGGGTAGTAACTGATTACATATAATCTGGATTACAGTATGTAATCAGATTCCAAAAACGTAGTACTTAGTATAGATTATATTACGTTTTAAAATGCTCAAGCAAATTATGGTTACTTTTTTATGGATTCCATATTATTCCCACAATGGTAGTAAATTATTCATAATTTATTGATTCTTTATCGCCTTTTTTCACCTTTGTCGCCATTGGCTTTTGCTTTGTTTAGTTGGGGACATTTCATTTAAAGGGTTAGTTCACCCAAAAATGAAAATTAAGTCATTAATTACTCACCCCCATGCTGTACCAACCCCGTAAGACCTTCGTTCGTCTTCGGAACACAAATGAAGATATTTTTGATTAAATTTGAGAGCTGTATAACTACCACATTGGCTCCTAAAGGACTGCCTCTTGACGGCCCAGAAAGTCAATGAAGAAAATGTTTAAATATCCCAAGTGACTACCGTGGCTCAACTATATGTTTATCAAGCGACGCGAATACTTTTTGTGCGAAAAAACAAACAAAAATAACGAGTTTATTCGACTATTTCTTTTCTTCCTTGTAGGCCAGAAACGAGACTTCCTTAGATTTCCACGACGCATGCGCGAGAATTGCGATCTGAAGTAGTGTAAGCTGGTGTAAGCAGATCGCAATTTTCGCGCATGCGTCATGGAAATCTAAGGAAGTCTCGTTTCTGGCCTACAAGGAAGAAAAGAAATAGTCGAATAAACTCGTTATTTTTGGTTTTTTTTCGCACAAAAAGTATTCGCGTCGCTTGATAAACATATAGTTGAGCCACGGTAGTCACTTGGGATATTTAAACATTTTCTTCATTGACTTTCTGGGCCGTCAAGAGGCAGTCCTTTAGGAGCCAATGTGGTAGTTATACAGCTCTCAAATTTAATCAAAAATATCTTCATTTGTGTTCCGAAGACGAACGAAGGTCTTACGGGGTTGGTACAGCATGGGGGTGAGTAATTAATGACTTAATTTTCATTTTTGGGTGAACTAACCCTTTAATATTCAACAATATTATTGATCTGCCTGCATTGACACCATTATATGAGAGCTAAACTGAGCCGTACGATGACATGACGGTTTTCTCCAGAGTCGCTATATTATGTTTATAAAGGAACTAAATTAATAACTTTTTCACAACAACTTAAGCTGGACTGTGACACTATTTTCTTCTGGAAACAAACATTGTTACACTATTTTCCTGTTATCTCTGGAAACCTGCTTTGAAAAAAAAAACTTGACTTGATTCTTAAATTTTCCTTTCTAAAAGATTTTGAACTTGACATTTTTATGCTTAATTAATCATTAGCTTTTCTATCAACTCACAATCCCCCTTCAGTTCTTTCATTAACCCCAGTTTGGGAAACCCTGGCATAAAATACTGCTTAATGCATTTCATGTTGATGATAAAAAGAATGGAAAATAATTTCTCTTTCTTTTTTAAATATCAATATGGTATCCGATAATAGCATTCAAATCTAATTTATAAACGAGTAAGGTCAAAGGTAATCAAAAAGTAATCAGAATACATTACCTAAAACGGGTAATCTAAATTACGTTGCTAAATACAATTTGTCATGTAATTTGTAATCAGTAACAGACTATAATTTGCAAGTAATCTACCCAGCACTGCATAATATCTCTAGGCTAACTGTTAAAATGAATTTTATTACTATGTCGACTTTCAAAAAACGATGATAAGGTTATAAAGTTGCGTATCAATTTACAACGTGTTAATTTGCCTATTTTGTTAAATACAATACCCGTTATTTGAATGTTTGTACAATACATGTAAGAGACATAATTGTACAAACATTGGGCAACCAATTATTAAAGACCTGTTGATATGATCTCTCTCTTTTTTTATGTAACAAGTCACAAACTCAAGTAGGCTAACCCGGGTATTGTTTTGACAAGTAAACTGACTAGCAGAAATCATTAGGTGTGCAGTTCCTACAAACCACACATTTAAATAGAGTAACATTTATGAGAGAGTTGAGTTGTTTTCACTCACAATTGAAATGCCTCATTGTACTTTGCAGTCCAGCAGTTGTTTTTCGATTTGGTTGTGAATTTCCGTTTCTTCTCTGCGAGCTGTGGCCCAACCAGGTTAACCTCCACAAATGGACGAAACATACCCGAGGTCTGCCATTTCATGTCATTTACTGCGATCACTGAAAGAGGAAACCAGTTTGTAAAAAGATGTCAGGGGTGTTTACAGGATTAAATCTTCATCTCACCAGGCACTTAAAGGGTTAGTTCACCCAAAAATGAAAATTCTGTCAGTATTTACTCACCCTCATGTTGTTCCAAACCTCTATGTGTTTATTTGTTCTGCTATACACAAAGGAAGTTTTAATCAAACAGATCTCATTCCCCATTGCTGACTACCATAGTATGTATTTTTTCCTACTATGATAGTCAATGGGGAATGAGATCTGTTTGATTAAAACATTCTTCCAAATATCTTCCTTTGTGTTCAGCAGAACAAATAAACACATAGTGGTTTGGAACAACATGAGGGTGAGTAAATACTGACAGAATTTTCATTTTTAGGTGAACCAACCCTTTAAATGCACAGATTAGACAATGTATCTCTTCTTTCCTGTAGTGCTCTCACCTCTGACACAGAGTTTCTGCTCAGTGTTTCCAGCTGGAGGCGACAAATCCAACTGAATTACTGACTCCCCTATCGGCCGCTCAACCCCGGAGCCTGTCAATCAAACCGCTTCATTTCACAAATACTGTACATTCATCATGGTGCTTATCATTACAATCAGATATATGCACACACACACACACAAAAAAAAATCTTCACAAAAAAAAAATTTCACTTTGTAATGATTATGATTACAAATTATAGAATTATATGAAATACATTTTAAAAAATTAAGTAAAATATGCTATAAAAAAATTATACTGTAACACCAAGCTGAAAGTATTTTACTCTAGTCATAGCTAGATAGTGAAGCATTATCAAATAAGCCAAAATCTTTATTAACCAAATATGTAATGAGTAGGGGATTTGTTGCAAGAGAAATGCATTTTCTTTTAAACTACTAAAAAATGTATAAAGTATATAATATAAATATTGCATCAAGTTTTGAAAAAAAAAAAGAATAATTAAGCAACACAACTGTTGCAGCAAATCCACATATTACATTGATTTCTGAAGGATCATTTAAACTGAAGACTGGATTCATGGCTGCTGAAGATTCGGCTTTGAAATAACTAACATTTATAAAACTAAATAAAAAATATGCTAAAATAGAAATATTTTTTAATCCAGAAATTTTGGGCCCACCTCGGTCAGGTCGAACATTCTCTTTGGGTGTGATCCTGATGCCCATTCCATTTTGAACTGCAAGGAGAAATGTTTAATTAAAAAAAAATGCAAGTCAAATCATTTATTCAGATTGTGTGACCATGTGCAAAGGCTGATAAAAGTCAGCCACTGAACATGTGTGCATATGTATGTATGTATCTCACCCTGAGCATGTTGTGTTGTCACAAACGTCTTGATAAGAGCATCTGTGGTCTGTGTATATAGGGAGAGAGCGTAACGCAGCGATGACAGCTCAGGGCTCTTCTCCAGATATGCTTTTTTTAAACCATTCCCACCAGCATGGAAGAACAGCTACCCAGCAGCAAGTTTGAACAGAGAGAGAGAAAATTAGCATGAATTTCCTATTGAAAAAGGTGCTACAGGGAGGAACTTGTTTTGTCTGACCAACTTAGTACGTGTGAAATGTCATGCCTGTGGTGAGCAGCTTTCTCATATTGTTTCTCGAATTCTCTCTCCTACCCACACACACACTTTCATTACACACCAGTTGGAAGAACTCAAACCCCGGTGCAGTGCACAACATGTCGACTTGCTGTGACAGTTCTGTTTTTAAGCAGAAAGCCAATACTTTAATGTGTTGTAAATCAGCGGGTGTGCCATTTCCACCAACACACCTTGATTGCGTCCAGCGCTGCCTCCATGATCAAACATTGCCTTGGAGACAAGCTCTTTGGCTCCACCCCTCCCTATAATGAGAGGGAAACATTAGCCACACACACTTTCTTAGGCTATAGATTTTGTTTTACCCATGTACTTATGGTTAATACCTTTAGTTTTGACAGTTCCTTAGCAGCAGTAAGAAGTTGAGCTCCCTATAGTAAAAACAAAACCCAGAATATCTTAAACATCTGCCTGCCAGTATTGACTGTACCAGTACAAGTTCAAGATGCAATCACACTTTAAAAATAGTTTTAATTTAACCCTAAAACCGTATTCTGGACAAATGTGGGCAAAATAGTTTTGATTTATTTTTAAAAAATACTTCCCTTGATCTGAGCGGTACAAGACTTGGCTACTTTTACTAAGTTTGCCTCTTGAACACACACAGTTTTTTTTTTTTTGACTCAATTTTAAAATGTTAAGTGGGTGAAAAAAAACCTCCTTAATCTTGTATTTGGGTCAAAAATGGGCACCAAAAAAATTAATGGGAAAAACTGTAATTTAGAGCGTTCTAAAATAAGCCAAAATAAGACACCAGGTGACAGCAAAGTCACTTCATCTTTACGTTTTCGCACTAAGAACTTAATGGAATGATATTTTAATGTAGTTAAAAAAACAACATAAAAATAAGCATAATTTACATAGAAAATATGGTATTTTTTGAAGTAAATAATTTCAAAAATACCCCCAAAATAGAAAAAACGCCATAAATGGATAGACAAAACATGATCAAAGACAGTGATATAACATTTATAATAAATAAAAATTAGGATCACACCTGAGTCCTCTGTGCCCATATTTGTCCACAATTACAAAGTAAATACGGTTTGAGGGTTAAAAAAACCCCGAAAAAATTGCTGTCTAAAAATCCGACCACGATACCACTTAAAATGGTCATCATGAAATAATGAAATTACATTTTAAAAACGCAAAATGCTTCAAATAAAATAAAACAAACAAAACATTTTCACTTTGAGGGAAAGCCATGCAATTTTTGTTATAATGATCACCAATGTCACTTTCGATTGCTACTGTACTCACTGCTATCCTTAGATTGTATACCGACACTGACATTAATAATGAAAAAACACTGATAATGACTGCTTTGTGCCAGTAAAGTAACACATTTAGTGTTGTGAGAGCTGGAACAATTCTCAGTGCATCACTGTATATTTCATGGGCAAGGAAAAATGAACAGTTTAGGTTTTGGTGTCTAACACTAAACATCATGTGTACATGTCCTGTAAAATAACTCACTATACTGTCGCTGCTCTGAGGTAACACAATCGTTTTCTCCATGGAGATCAGAACATTTCTCCAGAGGTCCTTTAGCACACGCTTCAACACGGTCTTCTCGCATGTGTCTGCAAAGATGCTGAGGCTGCAACACACATCGCACACAGACATGGCATGTATGTGTTACATTCAGGGAATTTCCTGGGGAATTTATGAGATACAGTACAAAGACATTCAACTCATGACAGGTTATTATTCCACTTTCCTCTGCTCTTGTTCAGGAAACCAAGTGTGCAAATAAATAGGCACACATAGTGTGGAAATATGACAAGTGATCTGAAGCGGAATTGATCTAAAATGTAACTGAAGGGGAGTTGAGCTGAACTGACTTTGTGTCGAGGAACTCCATAAGCGGCCGCAGTGCGTTGTCTGCGTCAGCCTCCACAGTGTTACGAGTGTTCTGATTCAGAGGCCCTTTAATCTGGTACAGGATCTCCGCCATCTGACGCATACATACGTTTATACGAGCCTGGAAACTATACATACAGAGAGAGTGAGAGGGAGAAAGAAATTGTATAGGAATAAAGACTGAGGATTCAAATTAGGCCAACAAAAAAGATGACACCATTTCCAAAATAGATTCTTCTGCAACACTTTTTTATAAAGTCTGTTTATATTACATTCAATTATATAGCTGTAAGAGCACTCAAAATGAATAAAATAATATAAAATATAAAATAAAATAGTATAATAGCGTTTACCAACATGCATAAATGTAATATACACTCCAGGGCAAACAAATGGCCCAAAACAAAGAATGTCTTTTATTCAAATCACTGGTCAGGAAATTAGCAAGAATTGCACAAATATTGTAGATAAAGTAACTTAATCTCTATCACAGAATAGCCTTCCCCAACTTGCTGACAGATTTTAACAGGAAGAGTCGTCAATGTTGTTCCACTTAATGTTACTGGCTTCAAACAGTTCATGAGTAGTTGTCAAATGTCTCCCAATTCGTTTGAGTTTAATGTGAGACCAAATATTCACTATAGGGTTCAAATCTGGTCTCATACCAGGCTAAATCATGAGCCTGATGGATTTGCTCTTGTCTTTGCAGTTTGGGCAGGAGCATTGACTTGTTGAAAAATATATAAATACCTTAGATAACAACTTTTCCTTTGTGGGAAGCAAGCCATTCTGCAATATTCTGAACTCCAAAGCATTAAATGACTTTTCACAGTGAAGTAGCTCATCAATACCAGCTGCTAAAAAGGCTTCCCACACAATGACACTCTTCCTCCATGATTCACTAGGGTAGAGATGCATTTATCATTATATATTTCTTAAATACTTTTTTTTGAAGAGCATCGCCATGCAACTCGTATTTCATTGTGATTCATCACTCCACACACACAACTTCCAATATTCTTCCAAATATTTAATTCTGTCTTTTTGGAATTTGTGTGCCTTTATTAAATAGGACAGATCATATATATATATATATATATATATATATATATATATATATACATAGCGGAGTCTTTAATATTTTTCCTGAGACAAAGCAATGGCTTTTTAAGTAATGCATTTGCTTAAATTTTGCTAATTTCCTGACCAATAGTTAGTGGTTAAGGCAACTAAAAGCTTAGTGTTTAACCATTTTGGGTTTGGTCCATTTTTCCAGGAGTGTACAAAACATAGATTGCTTAAAATGCAAAACACATTAAAAAAAATGCAAAGCAACAAAAACAAAAAAGTAACCTACTTTCTGAAGAAGCAACTATGACAAAAGTGACATTTCTAATCAGAACACTCAGAAATACTGTAATAATGACATTCAGATGAAACTCAGGCACAGAAAATTAAGTTTACCTCTTTACAAACGTGGCACTCAGGTTATCCACAACAGAATTAAGCTTCCCTTGCAGGTCATTGAGGATATCTGCAGCCTCTGTGTCGAGCTGTTGAGAGAGTAACACGTATACACACACACATACACAAAAAAGTGTCAGTTTGATAGAAAATATGGCACTTAAACTAGGCAGAGGCGAGGAGAGGATGTAGGGAAAAATCCCCATGTCTGTTTGTCATGGTTCTGCAAACACATCATGTAGGTGAAATTGGATACGTTCTCTATTAAACCCCCTTTTCAACGGTAAGAAAAATCTTCAGCAATATATCTAGTCAGTTCCAACAACATCTTAATTAAAGCAGGACTAAAGCATACCAAGACAAAGAGTGCAGGAGTTACTTTTTCATTCCCCTAATGAAAAACAGTAACTTTTGTTTATTCAGTTTAATGGTGCTGAAGAAAGACAATTAAAACATCTCACACACAATATCGACAGTGGTTCTGGCAATCAGGGTGGTAAAAATGAGAAAACTTTCTCAAGTAAGTCTTATTTGTTCTTTGTCTTCTAGTCTATGGCTATAAAAACCTGAAAGCATCAATAAAAGCTTTAAAATATGGCACATTAGCATCTTTATCTACACAAGAAAGTGGCGCCAAAAGGTATTTGGACACTTTAATCACAATATATGAATAGAAGTATCAAACAAAGAGGTATTATATTAAAGAAAGAGCAAAAGTAGAATTTTCAAGCAAAAATGTTTACAGAAATATCTTGGTGTTAATAGTATAAAATAACAAATATACTTTTATTTGGGCACTTTCTGGTTGTAAAATTGTGTTGTTACATTTTTAATTGTGGCTCAAGTGAATAAATACATCTGGACTTGCACAAGGGCCAATGAATGCACCGAATTGATCATAAATGCATGCATGTCTGTTTGCACAATGCTATCATCACAGTGATAGGGAAAGTCTCTGGAGGAGGGAAGAGATAGCCAGGCTTCTAACAAAACAACATGACACTGTCTGATTCACACACACACCCATGATGATTATCGCACCTTTTTTGTGTCGACTGTTGCCTCTTTCTACCGAGAGACAGAGTTAAAATAACACAGGAAAACAAAAGAAAAGGCAAAGAGAGAAAAATGATACAGCTGAGCAAATTCTCAATGGCAAAGATGCTTCTGAATGTTAGTATTGAGATATATGAAGGAATGTTTAAGATTGAACTTAAAGAAAAATATCACACACCTTGTTTCCCTCAAATTTGGGCTGAAGAATAAAAAAAAGGAAAAAAACATTCAGTCAAACTCAAATTCCAACAGCATCTGAATATCTGATAGTTTTGAAGTCTAATCTATTCGCTGTTCAAGGCCACATTCACACAGTCAGTGTTTGGGAATGACAACTGGATTTCCTCAGCACAGTGGACACAAAGTTTAACAAACGACGGGAGTCCAAAAGCGACTGGATCTAAAACCTCCATATGACAGCTCATATGACCATCTCTGAGAGTTAGCGAAATCACACGTGAAAAAAATGATTATGTGAGTTTCAGTGGCTAATGTATTGTGTGATGTGTAGGAAGTGACGGACAACTAGTTTCTTAGTAAGGTTATGGTTTGTGAATCCAGCTGTGAGTCCAGAAAACACGGTGTCAGATCAGGATGAAAAATTGAGCAAAAATAAAAAGGCTTTATCTGAATATGCATTCATCCCTACTATACTATCGTTCAAAAGTTTGGGGTCAGTATGCTTTGCAGAGATTCTTTAAAAGTATCTAAAAGTTTTTAAAATATTTTTAAATGGAATTTACTTGTGATGGCAAAGCTGAATTTTCCAGTAGCACCTCATTGCAGTACACGAGATCCAGGGGGCGGAGTTGGATCCAGATCTAAGGGGGGGGATATGTGTATGATTAGAGGTGGGGTTAGGGATCAGGGGGCGGAGATAGGTAGGATTAGGGGTGGGGTTAGGGATCAGGGGGCGGAAATGTGTAGGATTAGGGGTGGGGTTAGGGATCAGGGGGCAGAGATGTGTAGGATTAGGGGTGGGGTTAGGGATCAGGGGGCAGAGATGTGTAGGATTAGGGGTGGGGTTAGGGATCAGGGGGCGGAGATGTGTAGGTTTAGGGGTGGGGTCAGAGATATGTAGGATTAGGGGTGGGGTTAGGGATCAGGGGGCGGATATATGTAGGATTAGGGGTGGGGTTAGGGATCAGGGGGCAGATATATGTAGGATTAGGGGTGGGGTTAGGGATCAGGGGCGGAGATGTGTAGGTTTAGGGGTGGGGTTAGGGGTCAGGGGGCAGAGATATGTAGGATTAGGGGTGGGGTTAAGGATCAGGGGCGGAGATGTATAGGATTAGGGGTGGGGTTAAGGATCAGGGGGCAGAGATGTGTAGGCTTAGGGGTGGGGTTAGGGATCAGGGGGCGGAGATGGGTAGGATTAAGTATATGTAATAGGTATTAGGATTTCGCGTTCTGCAGTGAGGACCTTCTCGAATTTCTCACATCACTATTTCAGTCTTCAGTGTCACATGATCCTTCAGAAATTATTATAATTTTTATTATAAAATGATTTTTATTTTAATAGGTCAATTTAATGAATCCTTGCCCGTATAAAGGTCTTAATTACTACTACTTCCAAAAAATAAATAAATAAATTATATACAGTATATATATATATATATATATATATATGCATGCAAGTATATTATATATAAATATAAATTATATATAATGTCGATTCTTCCAGTCTAACTGGGTGATTTTGACTAGTCATGGGTCAGTCATGAATGTTTTATTTATTTTGAAAGATGTTTTTCATTTTAAATGACTCTGGACTATTTTGTTCATTTTATCATAATTGTGCATTTTCTAAATCCTTTCAATCATGAATGCATGACTTTGCTCCAAATATGTATCGGGGTGAATAAATCCTTTGTTTCCTGTAAAAAGCCTATATATCTGTCACATAAAAGATAATAGAAAGACTCCGACCAAAAGACACAGAAAGGGAGGTGAGCTAATACTTTTTATATAATTAGTCTTTGTTTGCATTTTAATGATTTGCAAATTCAAAATATGACCAAAGATTAAATATGTGGATGAATTTGGCTATTGGAAATATAATGTTAATTGATCTCAAATTCACATAGCTAATGTCGGCCTAAAATAAGTAGCAAAGTTGAACAGAATTCAGTCACAATTCTGGCGACACGAGACTACCTTAAACTAGCCATAAAAATACATGGATTTTCCTAATGAGTATTCTAGACTTCGGCTCAACAATAACGCTCTAAGACAACAGAAACAAGTTTAATAAGCATCTGTTACTGCGTTAACCAAAACAATGATCATTTATTCACTGACAACAGCTAAATCATATTGTTTGCCTGAGGCACATCATTATTTAAGCTTTGAATTATGGGTAATTGTTTCACATCAGGGCACAAGAATCCTATTCCACCTAAAAACAAGACTGACAATGAGGTACTGAAGCCCTAGGGACAAGATTACAGCTAAAAAACACATTTCTCTCCTTCCCATCAGAGTTCACACACACTTGAGCCTCACACTAATGAGACATGGTTTTAGAAAGTACCACACACACACACACACACACACACACACACACACTCACAAACATCAGCTTATTACCTCGGCTCCATCACCCACCTCTGTGGTAGTGTTATCATCCTTGAGACAGAGAAAAAAATTACATTCAATATCACACAGAGTCCTGTTGATCCAGAGACTATGAGGCAATGCTACCACAGACAAACACAGAGAGAAAGAGAGTTTGTGTATGTGTGTGTGTGTGTGTGTGTGTGCGCGCCCAAACCTCCTTCTCTTTGTCCTTCTTTTCCCCCTGATGCCAGAACATGGAAACAAACATATAATGACTCACAAAAACATTGAAATACACATACAACAAAGGAACTATAAGCATATATATAGGTCAACTATGATGGACCAAAGATGGTCCTCTTAAGAACAGTATGTTTTTAGCACTAAATCTTAATATATTTAGAGATGACTTTAGCATGTATAGAATGATGATGCATTACTAATATAATAATGGAAATAAATTCAAACATTTGCTAATTAGGTTGAAAAAAAGGTACAAAAGCTGTCACTGGGGCTGTACCTTTTCAAAAGGTACACTTTTGAACCCAAAGGCCGCATATTGGTACCTTAGTGGTACATACTAGCACCTAAAATGTACATATTAGCACATGAAATGTACATATTAGCACCAAAAATCTACATATTAGCACCTAAAATCTACATAAACACGTAAATGTACATATTAGTACCTAAAATGGACATATTAAATCATGAAATTGACATATTAGCACCTAAAATGGACATATTATCTCCTACAATGAACATATTAGCCCCTAAATGTACATATTAGGACCTAAAATGAACATATTAGCTCCTGAAATGGACATATTAGCTCCTGAAATGGACATATTAGCACCCTCAGTACAGCCCCAGTGACAGCTTTTGTACCTTTTTTTCTGAGAGTGTAGCACACCATTATCATTAAGATGATCCCCTAACTGAGCCAAGAAGCTAAGTGTCTTAAATATCTCTGATATTTTTTTATGACTAGGTAAAAACATACATATCATGCTCTCTACTCCCCCCCCCCCCCCCAAAAATAAAATAAAATAAATAAATAAATAAAATTATAATATAATAAATATTATATTGTGATAGCTGTTATCTATTTTAAAGTAATTTATTCCTGTACTGGCTGTAAAGCTGAATTTTCTGCAGCCATCCCTTCATTCTTAAGTGTCACATGATCCTTAAATCTCATTCGAAAATGTTGTTTTGGTGCTCAAGAAACATTTTGTAGTTTGATCGATTATTGCTTTCACTTCAGAGTACTTCTGCTCATCCCTAGGGCTGTGACCACCATAGACATTCAGGTGATACACATATACACAAACTTTAAGTTAAGTATAGAACAACCCAAAATACTGTAAGTGCACGCACCTTTTCTTTCTTCGCAAGAGACTGCAGAAAGTAAGAATGAATAAAGAGCCAATAAGAACAAAACCAAACCAAGAAAAACTTTAAAAGATTTGAA